AGGTGAAGACAGAGAACTGCTACAGCTTAAAAGAGACGTAAGAAACATATCCGACAGGGCACAGTGGCTCACGCCTGTAATCCCAGCACTTTGGGAGGCCAAGGTGGGTGGATCACCAGAGGTCGAGAGTTTGAGACCAGCCTGACCAACGTGGAGAAACCCCGTCTCTACTAAAAATACAAAATTAGCCAGGCATGGTGGCACATGCCTGTAATCCTAGCTACTCGGGAGGCTGAGGCAGGAGAATCACTTGAACCTGGGAGGCGGAGGTTGCGGTGAGCCGAGATTGTGCCATTGTACTCCAGCCTGGGCAACAAGAGTGAAACTCTATCTCAAAAAAAGAAAAAAGAAAGAAAAGAAACATGTCAGGCAGGGCATGATGGTTCATGCCTGTAATCCCAGCACTTTGGGAGGCAGGAGTTCAAGACCAGCCTGGCCAACATGGTGAAACCCCATCTCTAAAAAAACACAAAAATTAGCTGGGCATGATGACGGGTGCCTGTAGTTGGGAGTCTGGGGCAGAAGAATCACTTGAACCCGGGAGGCAAAGGTTCCAGTGAGCGGGGATTGTGCCGTTGCACTCCAGCCTGGGTGACAAAGGGAGACTCCGTCTCAAAAATAAATAAATAAATAAATAAAAGAAACATATATATATATATAAAAGGACAGGTCAATTAGATGTCATGAGTGGATCTTTATTAAATCCTAATTCAAACATACTTACTGTATGAAGACGTAGATATCTTTGAGATGATAGAGAACTAAACATGGTGTATATTTTAGATGATATTAAGGAAGTATTGATCATCTTGGCTGGCACCGTGGCTCACACCTGTAATCCCACCATCTTAGGAGGCCAAGGTGGGAGGATCACTTGACGCCTGGATTTGGAGACCAGCCTAGGCAACGAAGTAAGATCCCATCCCTCTTTTTTAAAATTTAAAATTATAAATATTTTTTAAAAAGATAATCTCATTAAATGTGGTAACACTGCCATTAAAAAGTACTTATCTGGGCTGGGTGCAGTGGCTCACGCCTGTAATCCTAGCACTTTGGGAGGCCGAGGTGGGCAGATTACTTGGGCAGGAGATTGAGCCCAGCCTGGCCAACATGGTGAAACCCCGTCTGTACTAAAAATACAAAAATTAGCCAGGTGTGGTGGCACATGCCTGTAATCCCAGCTACTTGGGAGGCTGAGGCTGGAGAATCACTTGAACCCAGGAGGTAGAGGTTGCAGTTAGCTGAGATGGTACCACTGCACTGAGTAACAGAGTCAGACTCCATCTCAAAATAATAATAATAATAATAAAATAAATAAATAAAAAGGTACCTATCTGCAAGTGTATATAGTATATATGTATCTAAAAACAAAGTAGACATACTGTAAGATATGAAAGCGGGACTTTGGCTGGCTTCCCCAGCACCTAGAGTAGCGCTTGATGCTGTACTGACTGGGCTACCCGGGTTCTCTAGAGTAGTGCTTGACACATGGTAGGTGCTCAGATATCCGATGACTGACCGGATGATTGATTATAGGACTGCCAGACACATTCAGAATACAGGACACGTCCAGTCACATTTGAAGTTCAGATAAAGAGCAAATAATTTTTTAGTATATGTCCCAAATATCATGAGACTCATATATCATCAATATTAGTATATGTCCCCAACAAAATATTATATGCTAAAAACCACTCATATTTGTTGTTTATCTGACATTCAAACGTAACTGGCTGTCTTGCCTTTTCGCTTGCTAACTCTGGCTCCTCCTAGGAGTGGAAGCTGTTGCTGAGATACACTGAGACCTGAGGTGTGTGCAAGCAGCAAAGCGGGTCGGCTTCGGGTGAGGCTCTGGCAGGGTCTGTGGTCAGAATTAGGTACGGCAGACTTGGTGGGGAAAAGGCGGAGTCTAGCAAGAGACCGGATATGGAATTTCTCCGGAGAGGATTCATGAGGCTTTTGATTCAAGGCTTCCTTTTGGACTGAGAGGCTCAGGGTACTGTAGGAAGGATGTGCACCCTGGTCCTTCAGGAACTGTGTCCTTGGGTAGGAGGCTGTGCCCCCTTGTCAAGCCAGTAACGCTGTGCTCCTGAAGAAATCTCCATGTGCGTTAGAAACAATCCAGACCTTTTGAATGTAACGCGAGGGCTTTAAAATTGTGTGTGTGTGTGTGTGTGTGTATGTGTGTGTGTGAGAGGGGTGTTGTTGGAGAGAGGGCTTCTTTAAGAAACAAGTTTGCTAATGCTGTTTCAGCGGCAACATCAGAAATCGGGGAAACCACTGAGGTCAAGATGGAGTACTTAGTCCTTCCATTCCGTAAAATGTGAGATTTTTGTTGTCTTACAGGCTAGAAAGGCTGTGACTTGGCGCGGCCGACAGGCAAAGCTAAGGATGGAGGAGGATGAGAGAGAGGCAGAAAGAACAGTGCTTAGGAGCCAGCCCCAGAAGGAGGCTGCCCTACAGCGCAGGGAGGGCGGGGGCCACTGCCATAAGAGCCAGGAGAACAGGGAGCAAAAGAGAACAAATGGAGACAAAAGGGTTAAGGGGGTTTAAATGTATTTAACAAATGCAGATGCCGGACCCAGTGGCTCACGCCTGTAATCCCAGCACTTTGGGAGGCCCAGGGGCAGGATCACTTAAGCCCAGGAGTTCAAGACCAGCCTTGGCTCTGTCTCTACAAAAAATGAAAAAAAATTAGCTGGGCGTGGTGGTGTGCACCTGCAGTCCCCGCCACTTGGGAGGCTGAGCAGAGAATCACTTGAGCCTGGGAGCCGGAGGCTGCAGTGAGCTATGATCGTGCCATATGATCTGTTGTCTGGAGCCTCCCCTTCTGCCCTTCTCCTCTCCCCCTCACTTCAGACCTCTCAGGGTCTTCGTGCCTGCTGCCCGGACTGTACACCCGGTGTACTCCAGCCTGGGTGGCAGAGGGAGACACTCTCTCAAAAAACAAAAATAAAGAAAAAACAAAAAACCCACCCACACAAACATAGAATTTTTGTTTCTTCTAATCCTCGTTATAAATTACTTGTTCAGTTTACAGCTAGGTCTTACTTTCAAGCAGCAGCGATCGAGTATTATCACAGGTTAGATCCCTTCTGGTTTCAGCTGTTCCTACAGAAATTGTACTTTATCCAAGAAGCCCAACTTTGGGGTTTATGGAAATATAAACCATAAGTTTTATGCTTATGGTGATAGAAGCCCTGGGTAGGGCCCCTGAGTGCTGGTTCAGAACCTGGAGGGGAGTGAAACCCGTGAGGCTTATTCTAATTCAGGGCCGCAGAGCACACAACCCCGCCTCACAACCCCGCCTCACTGCCCTGTTTACCTTCCTGCTCCTTATCTATAACAAACCTGCACTCTCAGAAGCAAGGCTACAGAGGTTCAGATTCTTTTCTTGGCCTCTTTCCCTCCCCGAGGTGGCCAGGGTCCTCCATGTCTGGTACCAGCGTGTCCTTTGGGAACACTGGCTGCCTGGCCGGATGTGCTGAGAGGCCGGCTGGGAAGGCCACGCTGCAACAAGCACCTACATTCCAGGTATTGGCAGATGCACTGTCGCAGGGTTCTCGCTCTGCGGACTCACTTGTTGAGGTCAGATTTCACTTCCCTCCCAGTGGGTGGCAGCTAACGATTGATGAGCACACAGAGGAAACTGTAGCAAGCACCTCGTGTTTCCGCACACAGAGGCGGCCACCACCTAGTGCCCCAGTTACGCTGGACACCTGGTTTGCTGTGCCTCTGCCTGTCCCAGTGGTGAGGGGTGTGGAGAACCCTTTGGCGGCTGTCCCAGCAGAAGAGCTGACTTCATGTGCTCAGGACACACAGTTGAGGCCTGAGTGGATCTCGTGGGCGCTGACACTCATCCCCACGGAGCCTCCCACAGCACATCCTAAGCTCAGCTTGGTTCTGTTGTCTGGAGCCTCCCCTTCTGCCCTTCTCCTCTCCCCCTCACTTCAGACCTCTCAGGGTCTTCGTGCCCTTCTGCCTGGACTGTTTTTTTTTTTTTTGATACGGAGTCTCGTTCTGTCACCCAGGCCGGGCGTGCAGTGGCCCGATCTCGGCTCACTGCAAGCTCTGCCTCCCAGGTTCATGCCATTCTCGCTGCTCTGCCTTCGCCAGTACTGGACTACAGGCGCCTGCCACCTCGCGCCGGCTAGTTTTTGCATTTTTTAGTAGAGACGGGGTTTCACCTTTTAGGCAGGTGTTCTCGATCTCCTGACCTCGTGATCCGCCCGCCTTGCCTCCCAAAGTGCGGGCGTGAGCCACCGCGCGCCGGCTGGGACTGTCTTTAATACTAAAGGTGAAATGAGGATGTGAGAGAAAGTGCCTTAACTTCCCACCACAGAAGCTGAACGCTAGACAGAGCCTCAGGTCCATATTCACCAAACAGAAGGTCCAAGGCTCTGATGTGGAAAAGAACGGGCAGGGAGCTCAGGGGAGGAGCGGAGCTTTCCGGAGGGAGAAGACGAAGCGTCTGTCCATTTTACCTGTGCTGTAGACTCAAGAATTCTCTGGGGTCTAGACCTCCTGCGGATGAGTGGCCAATTCCGCCACAGGTACTCAGGACCTCTGATCTCAAACCAGGAATTCCCACGCCTTGCTCCAGTCCCGCATCCCGTGGTCTCCAGATTGGGCAATGGTGTCCCTGGCCATGGAAAGGTTCATGTCATTGCATACCTCCCCGGATCTAAAGCAAGAGAGGAGCTGAGTACGTCCTGGCTCAAGCAGTAATGTTTCTTAAACTGAATGCTCGTCCAAAACTCTTTGTAGCAAAAGAGAAATGAAAGAGAAACCTAATAACCTTTCTTTCTGTTTCCTGGAAAACCCCGATAAACTATGATCCTCAACTGTCGTTTGTGCTGCGGAGACTTACATGTAAGGACTTTGTAATAAACCCAGTAAAGAGCTCCCCAAATCGAACCCGCCTCATTTGGCAAACAGCTAAAGACGGGGCTGTGCCTCCTGCGAAGCTGGAATGAAGACTGGTGCCTCCTCGGTGTTACCTGGTCTGGAAGCTGTCATTGATTTCTTCTGCTCAGTCAGGTGGCAGTAAGGATATTTCTAGACAGCTCCTGGATTCTCTCCACGAAACTCAAGAGGAAACTTTCCACAGGTCTTCTTGGCTTGTCGTTTGGAAAGATTCATGAAGTTTAGCGCCTCCAGGACTGTAGGCTTCTTCAGGTTTAGGACTCAGGCTGGAAAGAGGCTTAAAGAAGGAGAACCACTTCCTTATTAAGCCCTGCCCCTGGCTCTTTAATGAAGGAGGGGGCTGATCTTTGCCCGTGTAATTTGCACTCTAAAAGGAGTTCTGTATCTATTACTGGCACTCTTCCTGCCCTTGGGATAACTAGGTGGGTGTTCTGATACTTTACTCTCCTTATCATTGTTGTTAGTTGAACAAATGTTTACTGACCACCTACCATGGTACAAGTACTGTACACATATTTAATCTTTTTTTTTTTTTTTGAGACAGAGTTTCACTCTGTTACCCAGGCTAGAGTGCAGTGGTGCGATCTTGGCTCACTGCAACCTCCGCCTCCTGGGTTCAAGCGATTCTCCTGTCTCAGCCTCCTGACTTTCTGGGATTACAGGCTTGCATCAGCACGCCCGGCTAATTTTTGTATTGTTAGTAGAGACACGGGTTTCGCCATGTTGGTCTCGAGCTCCTGGCCTCAGGTGGTCCGCCCTCCTCGGCCTTCCAAAGTGCTGGGATTACAGGCTTGAGCCACTGCGCCTGGCCCACATATTTAATCTTAACAACACTGAGAGGCAGGTGTTACGATTCCCATTGCACAGATGAGGAAACTGAGGCTCAGAAAGGTGAAGTATCTTGCTAGGGATCCCTGTCAGTTGAGCTGAGATCCAAATCGTGCTCTTTCTGGCTTTACACTATATCATGTCACCTCTCCTACGTGACTCAAAGATTGTATTCAAGTGGAACCACTGGGAAAGTGTTCAAAACGGAATCTAACCACAGCCATCGTAAAAACCACAAAAACCCACTGAAAGGCCAAATGTCATAAGTTTGGAGATGGAATTCCCTATTATATGAAGTGGGAAACAGTTACTTCTGATTTTATGCTCTATCCAGAGTCTTGAGTGAAATAGATATGTATGGCCACACTTGAGATCATAAACCCTGGACCGCTGTCAAACTGTGACGATGAAGGAAGTATGAATAATGAAAGGGGAATTAACGCTATTTTCGTAAAAGTGGGGAAGAATGGGTCATTTTAATATTAGGCAAACAGATCCAAAGGAGACAAACATGGTAGTTATGGGAAAGTTAGAGATTTAGTAACTCAAGGTGAATTTTCACTAACAAACTAGTATTTTTTGCACCAGTGTGGTCAATGTAAAGGGTATTAAAGAAATACTAAGAATGATTTTTATCTTTTTATAAAAACGTGCCATCTTTTTTTGTGGGAGAGGGGGATGATGAGATATATTCACTGGAAACAATTCAAGAATAAATAGGGCCTGGCTCAGTGTCTCAAGCCTGTAAGCTCAGCATTTTGGGAGGCTGAGGTGAGAGGATCACTTGAAGCCAGGAGTTTGAGACCAGCCTGGGCAACATAGTGATGAGACAAGAGTTCTTCAGGACTGGTTTGCAAGGTACAGGTCACAAAGACCCCACTGATAAAATGACATGTAGTAAAGCAGCAGCCCAAACCTACCAGAACCAAGATGCGATGAAAGCAACCTCCGGTCATCCCCACTGCTCATTGTACGCCAATGATTAAACACCATTACACTGGTGTGCTAGAAGACACGCACTCCTACAGCCCCACGGCAGTTTACAAATGTTATGGCAATGTCTGCAAGCTACCCTATATTGTCTGAAATGGGAGAAACCCTCAGTTCTGGGAACTCACCACCGTTTTCCCAGAAAATTCACAAAGAATTCACTTTTGGTTTAGCATATGATCAAGAAATACCCGTACACTCAATCAGGCAGCCCATGCCACTGCTCTGCCTATGGAGTAGCACCCCTCCCTTTTTTTTTTTTTTTTTTTTTTTGTCTTTTTGAGATGGAGTTTCGCTCTTGTTGCCCAGGCTGGAGTGCAATGGCGCAATCGTGGCTCACTGCAACGTCCGCCTCCCCAGGTTCAAGCAATTCTCCTGCCTCAGCCTCCTGAGTAGCTTGGATTACAGGCATGCGCCACCATGCCTGGCTGATTTTGTATTTTTAGGAGAGACGGGGTTTCTCCATGTTGGTCAGGCTGTTCTGGAACTCCCGACCTCTGGTGATCCGCCCGCCTCAGCCTCCCAAAGTGCTGGAATTACAGGCATGAGCCACTGTGCCCGGCACCCGGTTTTATTCCTTAACTTGCTTAATACATTTGCTTTCATTTTGCTTTGTTGGCTCACTCTTGAATTCCTGTGGGAAGCCAAGAACCCATGTGGCCTCCTAGGCTGAACCCCAGTTTTGGGATTCACCCTGTGATAGTGAGACCCCATCTCTTGTTATTATTATTATTTTTTAATTAGCCAGGCATGACTCACACATGTAGTGCTAGCTACTCAGGGGGCTGAGGTGGGAGGATCACTGCAGACCAGGTATTCAAGACCAGCTAGACAACGTAGCATGGTGGCACATGCCTGTAGTCCTAGCTACTTGGTGGTCTGAGGCAGGAAGATTGCTTGAGCCCAGAGTTCAAGGAGGCAGTAAGCTAGGATCATGCTATTGTAGTTTAGCCTGGGTGACAGAGTAAGACCCTGTCTCAAAACAAGAAGAAAAACCCTGTCTCAAAACAAACAACAAACAAACAAAACAAACAAACAATAAACCCACAAATGCATATAAGCAATAATAAAATCACATCACAAAGTATGGACTACTGGAGTTCTGAGTTACATAACTAAACAATGTTGGTTGCAGAAACCATTGAGAATCCTGAAGCGTCTTGGTCACGCACAGTGGCTCATACCTGCAATCCCAGCACTTTGGGAAGCTGAGGCAGGAGGACGGACTGTGTCCCGGAGTTTGAAACCAGCCTGGGTAACACGGCGAGACCCCATCACTACAAAAAAATAAAAAGTTAGCTGGGCGTGATGGAGCACACCTGGAGTCTCAGCTACTCAGGAGACTGAGGTGGGAGGATTTCTTGAGCCCGGCAGGGGGCCAGGGGGTTGAGGCTGCAATGAGCCATGATCACACCACTGCGCTCAGCCTGGGTGACAGAGCCAGACCCTGTCTAAAAAAAAAAAAAAAAGGTCCTGAAAGGTTTTGGCAAGGCAACTATTAACACAGGGAAGGGACAAACCCCTATGGAAGCTGAGGAGAGCAACTGTCCACATCTCATTCAACTATGTTATCTCCACGCCTGACAAGCTGACCACGGACACGTCACAACACATGTTAGATATTAAACAGCAAAAACAAAAACCTCTTTTCTCCCGATCCTAAACACAGACGTGCTGTTGTAGAAGACTTGTAAAACAGCGCACATAATAAGGATTGCCCTCATGCAGTCATTCAGCGCGAAATGCTGCTAAAAATTTGGTGGACGTCTCTTCTTTTCTTTGAGAAAAAGCAGACACAGGACAAACTCTCTGCCCTCCCCCTCTCTATGAGGAAAGACAGGATGATTCTCCTTTTTCCTTCAGACAGAGTCTCGCTCTGTTGCCCAGGCTGGAGTGCAGTGGCACAATCTCGGCTCACTGCAACCTCTGCCTCCCAGGTCCAAGCTATTCTCCCACCTCAGCCTCCACAGTAGCTGGAATTACAGGCATGTGCCACCACGGCCGGCTTATTTTTAGATTCTTAATAAAGACAGGGTTTCACTATTTTGGCCAGACTGGTCTCCAACTCCTGAGCTCAAGATATTCGTCTGCCTCGCTCTTCCAAAAGTGCTGGGATTACAGGTGTGAGCCGCCACGCCCAGCCGTCATAACTTCTAATAAACTTATTTCGTAAATAAAAATCTTTAGTGGCTGCATCATTCCAGTGAATGATAGCATTAAAAATATTCAGCCAGTGGAGAATCTCTTGAACCCGGGAGGCGGAGGTTGCAGTGAGCTGAGATCGTGCCACTGCACTCCAGCCTGGGTGACAGAGGGAGACTCAGTCTCTAAAACATAAAAATCAAAATCAAATAAAAGAAAATAATTCAGCCAGGCAACTATTTTTAAACGTTTTGTTTGTCGCCGGGCGTGGTGGCTCACGCCTGTAATCCCAGCACTTTGGGAGGCCGAGGCAGGCAGATCACGAGGTCAGGAGATCAAGACCATCCCGGCTAACACAGCGAAACCCTGTCTCTACTAAAAATACAGAAAATTAGCCGGGTGTGGTGGTGGGCGCCTGTAGTCCCAGCTACCTGGGAGGCTGAGGCAGGAGAATGGTGTGAACCTGGGAGGTGGAGGTTGCAGTGAGCCGAGATCATGCCACTGTACTCCAGCCTGGGCAACAGAGCGAGACTCCGTCTCAAAATAATACTAACAATATTAATGCTTTGTTTGTCTTCAGGTGCTTACTGTTACAAATAATGCTGCAGGGTATAGCTTTTCATCTTTGCTCACATTTTCCATTATTTCCTGAGAAATGATGCCTGAGAGTGGAATTATGTGGTGTGAATATTTTTGAAACTGTTATATATGCTTTCAATTCACTTTAATCTATGATTCTGGAATTGATTTATATCATCACTGGAAATACATCTTAGATTAAAATGCCTAAGAGTTTGAATAATATAGATAGAAAGCCCATCCTCAGGAAAACGGTGGGGTTTTTACCCATCACTACGAGTAACCATGTAAGACTTGAAAGTCCAGATGAGCAGATTTTAGAGTGGACACCAGATTATTTTGGGGCTATGACATTTATCCTTGTTTTGATTTCAATGATGAAACTCAATGAAATAAGATCAGAGATGAAACGAAGCAACAAAAGGCTGTGACTGGTTGAAATGAAAGATTTGGGAAAAGGAGCAGAGGAGAAGCACCATTCATTAAGCACATCTGTGAAGGGGTCAAGATGTCACCCCCCGAAAAGTACACCACTTTAACCTTAAGATCATTTTGAGCTGA